TCATGGATAATAATCATCTCTAAGCACTGTCTGAATTTTTCCCTTCAATTAGTACTTTATGCGAATACCTGCTTTCTATTCTACTTTAACTTCAGCATTTGAAGCTTTTTCTTTCTTTTTTTTTCAGTATTTTTATTTTTATTTTATTTTTATTTTGGGGGTTCAACATTGAGATATGTTGATCAAATCAATATTACTAGCATATATTATTACAAATCATAATTATTCTTTATGCCCCTTGTCCAATCTCTCCCCATCCCCCACTCCCCCTCCCTCTGATTACCCTAGATTTCTTCTCTCCTTCTGAAAGAGTAATGGTTGCTCTGTTGATTTGTTGCCTAGATGATCTGTCCAATGCTGAGAGATGTGTTCAGGTCCCCCAATATCATCATAGAGCAGATGCTTCTTCTGTCACTCTGAAATGAGCTTTGTGGAGAGAGACAACCTCTTTTCTTTATCTCTGCTGGTGACTCTCCTTGTGTCAAAGCACTCCACTCCAGTGGCTGGTGGACCATCTGCGTGGTGGTTGTGGTATCTAGATGCTTTCACGGTATCCATGGTTATGGGGGTGGCTGTGGTGGGCCACCCACATGGAGGTGATGTTTTTGGCATGCTCCTTGGCTCTGGCTTCTGGTTGTGGGGAGTTCCTGGTCCCCAGCTCCATGCTTTGGGTCCCCAGATGGGTCCCAAGTTGCTGGTGTGGTGTGCCAGGTTGTGGGGCAGGGGGAGTCCAGTCTCCTTCTCCGTGCTTCAGGTCTGCAGGTGGGCCCTGAGGCACTTGTGCGGTGAGCCTGGATGTGGGAGTGGGGTCCAGTCCCCAACTCCAAGCCTCATGTCCCCTGGTGGGCCCCAAGGCACTGGGGGAGTGCCTGAACTGGAACTAATTGTTTGTCCTTTGCTTACTTCTAAAACAGGAGAACTTCCTGTGGGAACCAGTACTTGAGCTATGTGGTTGAGCTAAATTACTGTTTTGCTGCTGTTTCCCTAGGGAGGGCTTTTTGTGCAGCTCAGGGTTTAATGATTGACCTAATAGGTACTTCAGGCTCTCCAGATACTCGATGCACCAAGGTTGTGCAGAAACTCTGATCTGGGCCTGAGTTTTTTTTTTTTCGTGACCGGCAACGGATCGCAACCCTCAGTGTTGTGCCCGTACTGGACCGGGACC